TACTGCACTTACTGTACCTCACTCTACTGCAGTGTAACCTGTAAAGGGCTGAGTACACCTGTTAGCGCTATATAAATATAATATACATACACTGTATACCCACTGCACTTACTGTACCTCCCTCTACTGCAATGTAACCTGTAAAGTGTTGAGTGCACCTGTTAGCGCTATATAAATAAAATATACATACACTGTATACCTACTGCACTTACTGTACCTCCCTCTACTGTAATGTATCCTGTAAAGTGCTGAGTACACCTGTTAGCCCTATATAAATAAAATATACATACACTTTATACCTACTGCACTTACTGTACCTCCCTCTACAGTAATGTAACCTGTAACGTGCTGAGTACACCTGTTAGCCCTATATAAATAAAATATACATACACTGTATACCTACTGCACTTACTGTACCTCCCTCTACTGTAATGTAACCCGTAAAGTGCTGAGTATACCTGTTAGCCCTATATAAATAAAATATACATCCACTGTATACCTACTGCACTTACTGTACCTCCCTCTACTGTACCTTCCTCTACTGTAATGTAGCCTGTAAAGTGTTGAGTACACCTGTTAGCCCTATATAAATAAAATATACATACACTTTATACCTACTGCACTTACTGTACCTCCCTCTACAGTAATGTAACCTGTAACGTGCTGAGTACACCTGTTAGCCCTATATAAATAAAATATACATCCACTGTATATCTACTGCACTTACTGTACCTCCCTCTACTGTACCTCCCTCTACTGTAATGTAACCTGTAAAGTGCTGAGTACACCTTGTGACGAGACCAATCTCACCACTGTGCATTGGAGAAGCCGGGTTGCTCGCCTGCTGCCTTTAGACTATGGCCCCATGTTGAAACGCTTGATTTTCCCCTGCAGAGACACAAAAGCCGGTCATTCGGTGCTGGCCCTGTTTGAGCGGTGATACCCCAGATAGCTATGCCATGGAGCCCATTCGTATAATGAAAGACTATGGGAAAGACTTTGGCTCCATGGCAATTGAACTGTATGTGTGTGATCTGAGGGCCATTCAGTAATAATGTGCGCTCAGATCTGACCTATCTGGGGATATGTTGAATGTACCTGTTTTGTGCAATGGCTGCACAGTTATATCTTTTTATGTGTTTTATTGTCTTTTTACTGCCATGTGTTTAATGGAGTTTTGCCTCTGTCCTTGGAGATAATTGGATTACTTCCCAATTATCTCCAGGATAGAAAACTCTGTGGAACTGGTTTTGGACAGAAAAGCCATGCTTCATTTGGTTACAAAGGACTACGATATATCTTTTGAACCAATGGACCAATTTGTATGATTTTGACGTATGTTTGTATTTGGAGTATGCTGATTCTGTGAATGTGATTTATGTGAATGTGATGCATACTTTTCAAGTTATGAATAATGTGTAAAAACTGTATTTCTCTAGCTGTTATAATTATATTACCCATTGTGTAAGGTAATTGTATCACAGGCAGAGGGGAGGTGTGACAGACCCATCCGTATGAACTAGAATTGCTGTGTTCGTCTGTTTTGCCGTTTGTATGAATTTCCCCATTCGTATGCCTTGTTTAAGGGAATGTATTTTTTTTGTCAAACGGAACTACCGAACGGACGGCCACCAAGAAGAGAGGTGTGCTGCTGGTTAACCTATTGATCCCAATTAGAACGTTGCGGTTAACCACAGACACTTCTCAGTTAAAACCGAATACAGGGTGGTCGTCGTTTGTATGTCGACCACGAGGCGGCGGCCATTTTAACTATGCGAAAGACCAGCGGTGTTCGACGGTTATTTCATGGAACTAAAAACTGACACTTTTTCAACCGAACACCGCTGAAGCCGTCGACCTCCCCTTCTCAATCGACAAAAGTATACGAATACCGGCTGTTCGAGAGATTTAAAGGCACGAATGGACTTACCCCCAGATAGCCTTCCCATGGAGTCAATCGCATACCGAAGAACTGTAATAGACTTTGACTCCATGGCGATTGAACTATGCGTATGGGATCTGAGCGCTATTCGCCAATAATATGCACTCAGATCCAGGCTATCTGGGGATGTGTTATACGAATGCAATACGTTCGGCAGTTATAAAGTTATGTATTTTAATGTGTTTTGTAACTTTGATTTAAAATGGCGATTTGCCTCTGCTCTGGGAGATAATTGAATTACTTCTCAATTATCTCCCGAGCAGAGGGGAGGAAACTGTGATGCATGCTGGGAATATTGTGGGAATGTATGTCTGAAATGTCCCCATGTCCTTCTGTTATTCCAGTCTCCCATTTGGTCCCCTAGGGGAGTGTCCACAAAGTGGGAGACCTGCATAAATACGGGCAGGTAGCCCACAGTAAACTCAGTTTGTGTTTTACCCTCAAAGCGGAGCTTGGTCTCGTTATTGGGGGGATTTTATTACCGGCAACTAGAGACTGCTTATTGGAATTATTTGCCGCTTGGAAGATATTGGCGTTCGGCTAATATTGGCGATTCGTGTATTTGGAGCTCGTGAAGGGAAGGAGCCGTACAGGTACCGTTCGGGAGTTTGGAGTGTTCCCTGGTTGGCGGTTCGCATGGTTATACTGCATACACTACCAGACCACATTATTGCCAACGGGGAGCATTCACTAAACGGCGGTTTGTACATTTATTACTGGAGGTACCGTAACAGGAGGATTTTGTGTGGGAGTGTCTGAGTGTATTGTACGTGTTTATTGGTTGTTTTCCAAAACCCTGTGGGTGGTACTAAGGTGTATAGAGAAAAATAAACCCACAGCTCTACTGTAATGTAACCTGTAAAGTGCTGAGTATACCTGTTAGCGCTATATAAATAAAATATACATACACTGTATACCTACTGCACTTACTGTACCTCCCTCTACTGTAATGTAACCTGTAAAGTGATGAGTACACCTGTTAGCACTATATAAATAAAATATACATACACTGTATACCTACTGCACTTACTGTACCTCCCTCTTCTGTAATGTAACCTGTAAAGTGCTGAGTACACCTGTTAGAGCTATGTAAATAAAATATACATACACTGTATACCTACTGCACTTACTGTACCTCCCTCTACTGTAATGTAACCTGTAAAGTGCTGAGTACACCTGTTAGAGCTATGTAAATAAAATATACATACACTGTATACCTACTGGACATATTGTACCTCTCTCTACTGTAATGTAACCTGTAAAGTGCTGAGTACACCTGTTAGCGCTATATAAATAACATATACATACACTGTATACTTACTGCACTTACTGTACCTCCCTCTACTGTAATGTAACCTGTAACGTGCTGAGTACACCTGTTAGCGCTATATAAATATAATATACATACACTGTATACCTACTGCACTTACTGTACCTCCCTCTACTGTAATGTAACCGGTAAAGTGCTGAGTACACCTGTTAGCGCTATATAAATATAATATACATACACTGTATACCTACTGAACTTACTGTACCTCCCTCTACTGTAATGTAACCTGTAAAGTGCTGAGTACACCTGTTAGCGCTATATAAATAAAATATACATACACTGTATACCTACTGCACTTACTGTACCTCCCTCTACTGTAATGTAACCTGTAAAGTGCTGAGTACACCTGTTAGCGCTATATAAATATAATATACATACACTGTATACCTACTGCACTTAATGTACCTCCCTCTACTGTAATGTAACCTGTAAAGTGCTGCGTACACCTGTTAGCTTTAGATTAATAGACAAGTATTTGAGTTCTGTATATGGTTTGCTAAGTGGGATTGCCTGTGTGTTATATACATATTATTTATCTCATTATATGACAATGCTTTGCTGCTATTTGAGATGGATATATTTAGGGGATATTGTGAATTCACTGCAGACCCTCTGCTGTATCACATTGTTGCAGAAGTCCTGTGGAGTGATTTATTGATTTTTTTAGTAGAGGGACATGTCCTCATGCACTCAGAATGGTTTGGAGGTATCTGCTCCCGCTGAACACTTGGCTGGGAGGAAATAATACAATTCTCTTCTTCACTTTCACCTAATGGCCGCCTGCGTCCCAGCTTTCAATCAGATACGCACTTATTCCCCACTCCTTATCATCACATCTCCAGATTCCCGGCACTGAAGGAAATGGTGAAAAATCCTACTGCCCTTGAGGTCCATCGTGAGAACAGAGCGACGTCACAGAGGGAATAAGGCTAATACTTGGACACATTATGTTTTGGTGCTGTGATTTTGAATTTTATTTTTTACAGAGAAGAACAGGCAAGTCCACAGAACACGGCTACGAGTAGGCACACAGTGTGAACGATGACCTATGTCCACCGAGGACCAGATGACAAATTCACTTCCTGTACAGCTGGTCATCACTCCCTTATAGCTCCCAAGTTCCTCAGCATAACTTCAGCGTAAGTTTCAAATGACAGTCGGATGGTGTTATTTTGCTAGATTTCTTTCAATTCAGAAAGTGAGGATGTGGACGGGGCACCATAAGTGCATTAAATGTCTAGTTATCTCACCATATTGGTGTACAACTCAACAACCTCACTACAAGTCAAAAAAATGTAATGCAAACATTGAGATTTACATATATATATATATATATATATATATATATATATATAATTATTTATATTTCTAAGAGAATGTTATAGAGTTCACAATGGCTATTTTAACATGGAGTTGCAGGTATTGAGTGATTATACCAGAAACGCTTCGATCCTGCCAGCTTGGTCATCTGCTAGCCATTTTGGTTGTCTGCTAGCCCTTGCGTCACGGTATGTCATTGTATTGCGTGTCGTTTGTTATTAGTGGGGAGAATGCTCAGACTCTGAGGTATCCTCGCAGTAATGAGACAACAGTTGTACTCGGCTGGAAAGATCTCTGGCACAGTACAAGCTCAGCATGGTGCGTATTGTCTATTGGGATTGAATATTCGTATCTTTGTATTTTTAGAATAGACCAGTTTGCCCCTAAGAGCTAATAGGCGCAGCCGCCATGCCACTTGTATCTCTAGTTTGGCCACCTCTAACTATTCATGACATGACACTGACACAGATATTAATGATTACAGAATGGCTACCAGTGAAGACCCATTACCAGACCCATTACCAGACCCGTTACCAGACCCGTTGCCAGACCCATTACCAGACCCGTTACCAGACCCATTACCAGACCCATTACCAGACCGGTTACCAGACCCGTTACCAGACCCGTTACCAGACCCGTTACCAGACCCATTACCAGACCCATTACCAGACCCGTTACCAGACCCGTTACCAGACCCATTACCAGACCCATTACCAGACCCGTTACCAGACCCATTACCAGACCCATTACCAGACCCGTTACCAGACCCGTTACCAGACCCATTACCAGACCCATTACCAGACCCGTTACCAGACCCATTACCAGACCCATTACCAGACCCGTTACCAGACCCGTTACCAGACCCATTACCAGACCCATTACCAGACCCGTTACCAGACCCATTACCAGACCCATTACCAGACCCGTTACCAGACCCGTTACCAGACCCATTACCAGACCCATTACCAGACCCGTTACCAGACCCATTACCAGACCCATTACCAGACCCGTTACCAGACCCGTTACCAGACCCATTACCAGACCCATTACCAGACCCGTTACCAGACCCGTTACCAGACCCATTACCAGACCCATTACCAGACCCATTACCAGACCCGTTACCAGACCCGTTACCAGATCCGTTACCAGACCCGTTACCAGACACTAGATTCTTTACAGGCCAAGTTTGGAATGAAGTGTTTATTTATTATTCTCTATTACAAGACAACCCAGTTCATGTGCACTTACTCATGCCTCTTATAAATATTTTGCTTTGGTCCAGGTACCTCCGGACATTGTCAGTTTTATGATCACATTACAATCTCATTAAACAAATGGCTATTGAGCAGCAATAAATCGCTATTAAAATCATGGATTTACAAATGCACACAAAGAGGACTAAAAATAATGATGTTTCTGCATGTCTCTGTATGATAGTGTTTGTATGTCTGTGTCTGAATGACTGCATGTCTCTGTATGACTGTGTATGACAGTGTTTGTATGTCTGTGTCTGAATGACTGCATGTCTCTGTATGACTGTGTATGACAGTGTTTGTATGTCTGTGTCTGACAGAATGTATGTCTCTGTATGACTGTGTATGACAGTCTCTGTATGTTTCTGTATTCCTGAGTCTGAATATATGTGTATGACTGTGTATGTCTGTGTATGCCTGAGTCTGTATGTCTCTGTATGACTGTATATCTGTGTCTTTATGACTGTGTATATGTATCACTGTATGTATGTGTCTTTATGACTGTGTATGTGTGTCACTGTATGTATGTGTCTTTAGGACTGTGTATGTGTGTCACTGTATGTATGTGTCTTTAGGACTGTGTATGTGTGTCACTGTATGTATGTGTCTTTATGACTGTGTGTGTGTGTCATGACTGTATGTGTGTCACTGTATGTCTGTGTCTGCAATGTCTGCATTTCAAACTATAAAACAATTTTAAGTATGGCGCTAAAAAACTCTTATAACTAGAAACAATATTATAAACAGCACCTGAAAATGTAATAACTCAAATTCATACATCACAATAACACAAAATCAAATCTGTGGAATACTATGCAAAACTTCTCATTCATGAAAGTGCATAACAATAGTGCAACAACAAGTGTGTTTCTGACTGTGCAAACAATTAGCTTATAGTGTATCTATACAATAACATCACCCTCAGCCAGATCATAGTGTATCTATACAATAACATCACCCTCAGCCAGCTCATAGTGTATCTATACAATAACATCACCCTCAGCCAGCTCATAGTGTATCTATACAATAACATCACCCTCAGCCAGCTCATAGTGTATCTATACAATAACATCACCCTCAGCCAGCTCATAGTGTATCTATACAATAACATCACCCTCAGCCAGATCATAGTGTATCTATACAATAACATCACCCTCAGCCAGCTCATAGTGTATCTATACAATAACATCACCCTCAGCCAGCTCATAGTGTATCTATACAATAACATCACCCTCAGCCAGCTCATAGTGTATCTATACAATAACATCACCCTCAGCCAGCTCATAGTGTATCTATACAATAACATCACCCTCAGCCAGCTCATAGTGTATCTATACAATAACATCACCCTCAGCCAGCTCATAGTGTATCTATACAATAACATCACCCTCAGCCAGCTCATAGCGTATCTATACAATAACATCACCCTCAGCCAGCTCATAGCGTATCTATACAATAACATCACCCTCAGCCAGCTCATAGCGTATCTATACAATAACATCACCCTCAGCCAGCTCATAGTGTATCTATACAATAACATCACCCTCAGCCAGCTCATAGTGTATCTATACAATAACATCACCCTCAGCCAGCTCATAGCGTATCTATACAATAACATCACCCTCAGCCAGCTCATAGCGTATCTATACAATAACATCACCCTCAGCCAGCTCATAGCGTATCTATACAATAACATCACCCTCAGCCAGCTCATAGCGTATCTATACAATAACATCACCCTCAGCCAGCTCATAGCGTATCTATACAATAACATCACCCTCAGCCAGCTCATGGTGTATCTATACAATAAGATCACCCTCAGCCAGCCTATGGTGCAACATGGAAGAGTTATCAAACAGAGCAGCCGTGATCCCTGTGTCACTTTAACATACAGAACTGGGAAGCTATGGCTGGCACAGTTGCAGAGATTCATGTAAACAGATTGATAAATTGATAATAATTGTATAATAATCCCATTCTGCTCCAACAAGCCTCTCCCTGTGTGAGGGCATCACAGCTCTTTATAGATGTTAACCATACACTGCTCTTATCCTCCCTAGTTATTCTCTATCATTGATCATCAGCAGGAGCTATGGACAAACTGGACATACACATCGCCGGGATATCATTTCCCAATGCATTGTGTATGTGACTTCATCGGCCATAAAATGCACGATTACCATTTAATGATCAATGTGAGGGTGACAAAGATCCTATCATTTATTTATTGATACCAATAATGGTTCTGTTTTAACATCCATAGATACCAGTGATTTTTATTGATACATTCCAGTCTAGCATTATGTGTGTGTGTGTGTGTGTGTGTGTGTGTGTGTGTGTGTGTGTTTAGACACAGGATAGATTATCTGCTAATATATCCATAGCTTTATTGGTTTGCTAAATTTGCACATTTTGTCAAATCTGAGACCAGCTCCCAAGCAGGAAAATCAACGTCATTCTCCCATACACCATCCTGCCTGGTGCGAACACAATGATTTATTGTTTGGATTGATATCTCATTCTTATGAATAAAACATCAAGCTAACTTTCTACCTTTTTCAGTCATCTCGTAAAATAACATTCAGGTGTGGAGAGGGCAACGCTGGCTGTTCATTGCTGGAAACTCAGAATGATTTTAGAAAGCCACCTTAACCTCTTCAGATATGGGTGCTGTTACAAACTGCCATTTGTAACTGTTATTTTATTTGACAAATTGCCCTGCTTCCCTGTGTTATGGAGAAGCCTAATTGCCAGCCTTCTGCCCCATGACTATGGACCTAGTGTGTATGACGATTTGACTGTATTTGTGGGATCTGAGCGCTGTTTGGATATATTGAGCGCTCAGATCCAAGCCATCTGGGGATAGGTTGAATGTGGGGGTTCTGTTCAGTTCAATAGGAGTTATGTATTTTTGTGTCTTTTTGTGTCTTTTGCTGACATGTGGTTAATGGAGTCTGCCTCTATCCCTGGATAATTGGATTACTTTCAATAAAACCGGTTTGGGCCAGAAAACCATGCTGCCAGCCAGGCCCCAAAAGACACTTTTGCTAACTTTTGAACCCCTTGTCTGATTTGTGCCATTTTTTAATATGTTGCTCCCCTTAATGGATTGATTCCAAATATGTAATTTTTATGAAGATTGGATGTGTAGTTTGGAAGTTATAGTACATGTATAAAAACTGTATTCCTCTGCCGGTGATAATGAGATTACCCATTGTGTTCAGTAATCATATCACATGCAGAGGGGAGGATTTTGTGTGGGAGTGTCTGGGTGTATTGTACGGATTGATTGGTTGTTTTGTAACGCCCTGTGGGCTGTACCATGTTTGTGGATTGGGAATAAAAGAGACTGTATGTGACAGTACAGGGAGTTCCTGTTTTAACCCTCAAAGTGAAGTGTCGTCTCATTATTGGGGGAAGGATTTAGTGTATGCTGTTCCAGTTTGACTGCTAGGAGAGTAAACCTATTTGTATGGTTCCTATTCAACTGTCTACAGCATTCATATGCTTGGGAGAATTTATTTGTTTCTCCGGTTCGGTGATTGTGGTGTCGGCTGCAGTGTTTGGAGTCCTCAGGAAGCGCTAGGAGCATCCATCAACGGAGGGTACTCGGTCGGAGTACAGGGAGCTCCGTTACAGGTGCATTTCCTGATTCAGGTGTTACAGGTACATGCCAGTTATAGCTTTGATTTCCAGGCTGTGTCTGTGGCGGAACCAGCCTCACCACTGGGCATTGGAGAAGACTGATTGCCAGCCTCCTGCCCTGTGACTATGGCCCCTGGGATGTATTGCCTGCTCTCCTGTACTGCTTAGGATTGCTACCAACTAGGTGGATTTGGCTATGGAGCCTGTGTAGTGCCCTCTGTTGGTAGCAACAGTAATATGCACTACCTGAATAGCAAGACTGGTAATTTGCATATTCGGGTATATTTGCATATCGCTAATTCTGCATGCAGGAGAGACATTTTGTGTTAATTATGGTTTCCCCGCCCATTTATAAATATGTAATTATGTTATAATAAGTCACTGTATGTTGCCTGCTATGATTTGATTGTTTGTAATTTTATTGAGTTTTCACAGCAATGTTAATGTAATGACCATATGGGCTAGTCTCAAGTAAAATAAAGTTTTAGATAGTTCTACTTCACCCTCAATTTGGAGTCCTGTCTCTTATTGGGGGAATCTGCTACAAGGGATTACTATGCTCTGCCTATTCCCAGCTATAATCACTCCTAAGCTCTTTTAAGAGCTCGTTCCTGCTTCGCTCTGAAGGAAGAGAGGTTCAGCCTGTGTTGGTTGTGGTGTCGGCTAGATGGCTTGGAATCCTTAAGAAGCGCTAGGAGCATCCATCAACAGAGGTACCCTAGTCGGGGTGCCAGGTGATCCGTTACAGTGTCTATTATAAATCAAACCACACGGCACAGATGTAGAGGGTAGAAAAGGATAGAGCCATTTTTATTTATTAAAACAGTCATTGTCTCCAATTAACATTAAATATACATTGAACCTTATAACAACATTAGGCATTCACAATGTTTTTAACACAGCCTTAACATAACTAAGAACTGCATATAATTACTTAATTAGCAATTTAACCTTTTCAGCACCAGCTAGCTCCCATGGATTCCATGTTGAAACCGATCCAACTGCTGGGACAGGACTGTGTGCCAGCCCCTCTTCCTGCTCAAAACCTCTCACCAAGCCTCCATTAGGTGGTGATCCACATCCTGATTGTGAGGCCATAGACCTTCCCCAGAAGCAAGCTACTGCCAATCCCCTAGTGGATGACCCCTTACTTCACCTGGGCTACACCACGAAAACAATGCAATTTTTACCAGCTCCTGTAATTACAGTAAAAAGAAGTCCCAACCAAGGTCCGACATATGGACTCCAGAAAGGCTAGATTCCTGATGAAAAACAAAAATGCAACATGATTGAGAAATAAAGATAAAGATAAAAAAATATATAATAATACCCAGCAAGATAGACTTTGTCTACACCACTAATTTT